TAAAATTTTCAGAAAAAAAAGGTTTACCAGAATCCATTAAAAATATATAGTGGTTACCATTTGAACAAAAAAAGTTGATTTTGCTGTTGGTACACCTGCGTGCTTAAACATTTTGAAATTGTTATAAAAAAAGTAAAAATTTTCCAGTAATTTTCAAAAGCACCGTGAAAAACAAAAGAAAAATGTAGGAAAAACAGGAATATTTACTCAAAATCTGTTTTTGAAAAAATTGATTTTGGTTTTTGTTGCAATTCTTAAACAAATGACCGTAAATATATGAAATTTTGACTGAATGTCTATATTGGCATTTTCTATACACCATAAAATTTTCCAAATATTTTGACTTATTTTGAGCTCTTTACGGACATTTTCAGTTTCTATTTATTTTAGTTTGTTTTTCTGAAAAATATCAATTAAGTTGTATTTGTTGGGTACAAAAGCTTGAAAATTTAATAGAAAGCTCTTAGTATATTGTTTCAAAGGCAAATTAAAAAAATTAAAAATCCATAGTCACAATTTTTTTTATAAGCATTTAAAGTTCAAATATTGACAAAATACGTAAAAATGACGAAAATTTAGAAATTATTTTGAGTTAGAAATTCATAAAAATTTTCTTTTTAAATCTAAGATTTTAAAGTGTAATACAAGATTCCTTATGAGATTATCTACCTTTATCAAAAAAAAAATGTCTACAAGAAAGTCAAATTAAATTTTTATGAGCGTTTGAATTTCATATTTTTACGATATTGGATATTCACTCATAAAGCGATTTTGTTATTTTATTGTTATTCAAAAACGAATGACTATAGATACTTGAAAATTTCACTGAATGTTTATATTCGAATTTTCTATACACCATACAATTTTGAAAATAATTTGACTCTTTCTGAGCTGTTTACGGACATTGTCAGTTTTCAACTTTTTTAGTTTTTTTTTCTATAAATATCAATAAAATGTTATATGTTGGGTAAAAGTTTATGAAAATTTAATGCAATTCTCCTGATATATTGTTACAATAGAAGTAGAAAAATATTCAAAATACATAGAAACAATATTTTTTTATAAGCATTTAAAGTTCGAATTTTGACAACATTTATCACATTTAAAATTTAATAATTATTTTGTAGCTAAAAATACATAAAATGTTCAACTTTTATAGCTAAGGATTGAAAATTTAAATCAAGTTTCCACGTAAATAGGTTATATATAAATTACTTTATTCACAATAATGTCATCAAATACACTTTGTAATTTCGTAGGCTGACTGACCGTTTTCGCTCAGAATCGTTTTTCTTTTTATATACATATTTTTTATAATTATCATTATTAAACAACATTATGGAAACATTTTTATATACATATTTTTTATAATTATTATTATTATTAAACATTATGGAAACATTTTTATAACTGTGGAATTCTAAAAAAATTTAAACATTTAAATTTTATTTTTGAAGGGGAAATTTCATACGGGGAAAATAACTTGACGGGGAAATGTATTACGAGGATGTAACCTGTAACCATATTACCTGTGCTGTGCGATGGCCTTGTTGTTAGATACTTTTTATTGGTACCTAGCTATAAAATACGATAACGGATAAAACAGCGCTTAAAATACATCTGATTTCAGGCGACACACTTATTCATCTAACTGTTACCTTTGGGCTCTGCAAGATTTCTTAAGCAAAAAAACCCTATGGGTTTGTAACACTCGAAATCCCCCCTCTTTTATATCCCACTTACCTTACACATTAATATTTGTACACATTTGTCATTCAGGGGACACACTTTGATTTTCAAGGGACACAGTATTTTTTAGCCCCTGAGATAAACGGAAATACACCTGTTATTGATTGTACGATAGCGGGACACGAACTGAAAGAGAACAGTTTTATTTATAAATAGATATTATCTTGATCAGGTTTCATAGTATATATAATATTAATTAGTCATAAGCAGAGTTGGTTAAAAACATGATTTTTTTAAAAAAAATCAAAAAAAATTTTTTTAATCGTTTAAAACATGATTTAATCGAGTTTAAAACACAATATGTAATTTATTTAAAAAAATTTAATTTATTTAATAATTTAATATCATAATTTTTTTATAACTTGACGTGTAATTTAACCACGGCTATCGATTTTACACTTAAAAATCGTTTTTGAATATTTTGATAATGATTGATGATAAAGAACTGATCTGTTATCTACATCGTGATAAAGAATACTGATTACTGTATTTACTATTTTCAATTTTGGCGGGTTTGCGCCACAATATTTCCGATTATAAAATATTATGATAAAGGTAATAAATAATAATATGATATGATAATATGTAATTTAAACAAATAAATAAATAATTAATAAATATATTACCTACAGAACTACAGAATTAATATATATTATATAACCATTGAAGTGTTAGTAATTTAAATAAGTAAAATTATCATTATACATTTTATACATTTTAAATTTGTTTATGAAATAAAAAATAATAATAAATAGGAGTTGCCAGTATGAACTTACAAATAATAAGTTATATGCACATAAATTATGATTTTCTGTTTTAAACTGTTTTTTTATGTAGTTTAAATCATTTGTTTTAAACGTTTTAAACAAAACCATGTTTGATCAACTCTGGTCATAAGTGAATTTCAATTTTCAACCCAGGTTTTAAGTAACTTTTCTACAACGTTAACATCAAATAAAAAAACAATTATAACGAAAAAACTTGATATTTATTGTGGTAACGTCGATAATTTATATTTTATTATTTTTCTATAATTGTATTACATTACATAACAATAAGTAATCAAATCGTCCTTATGGTTGGCATTTAATTAATTAAGAAATATATTTTATTTTATTGATCAATTTCCTTTAAAATAAATAAATGAATTCGTTGAAATTAATATGCTTTGTAACAATCTGTAGGCTTAATAAATAATTTATCTCTAATAACTTTTTTTGTGCACCGTATAAATTACAGTGAATATATTTATAGATTATACATTTAATATAAAACAACAAAACAATAACACAACAAATTAGCATATTTATACAAATCACGTTCTTCATAGCCTAATGCTATTATTAGGTATACACCTATAAATAATTTAAACTGAACAATTATTATAAATATTTAAATTTTAAAATATTACTAATATTGTAAACTTAATCGAAATACAACATGTACTTAACAATAAAACAGTAATGATATTTTATTTCATACCTAATATATTATACTCGTAACAATAAAGACATTTGTGTGTAGAACTATCTATAAATTTCCAAGTTGCACATTATAATTAACAATTTTACTACATATTATGTAAATTGTATGCATATTATAATATAATATTAGGTATGTAAATGTATAATAATATGTTTTTTTTATTAATTATTTTTAGTGTAAAAAAAACACAATATTGCTATACTATTGTATTATCATATACTCGTATAAAAATTGGTATTATTTAAAAGCACCAGCAGATAGCAATATTTGTTTATAAACAATAAACTGAAATTGGCCTTAAGCTAAGTGACTAAGTTGAAAATGAAAAAAAAAAATTGGACGTTTACTTTTATCAACACGAATTTAGCTAGGTATTGGTTATTATATTATTTAGTATAATGTTTCAAAAAAGTGTATTCAATACAATATATACTAGATCATATCAATTTGTATCATAAACAAATCTTATTAACTTAACAATATTATCATTTTTTTTTGCAATGATTTTTTTCGTTGATATTTTTATAAATTGAAATATTTTATTTATTAATAACTTGTACTTAACATTTATACATATTTTAAAATCTTATAGGTATTAATTAAATTAACATTTTGACATCTACAAGGTTAAAAACTATTATTATAATTATGATATATTATCAAATATATTTATCTCAATTTTAATAAAACGGGGCTTTAATGTTTATTGAAAACTTTATTGATATAATTATTTTTATTGGAATATAATATATTATATATTTTAATACGTTATAAACGTTTTGAACACACGACAAACAACGACTTCTTTTTAGTTTGAAAGCATTAAAAACAACAAATCTACCACCTTAAGTAGGCATCAAATTAAATATATATATATTTATTAATAGTACCTATGTGGGTAGGTTTTGCATATTTTATTGAAGATGCTAATTGTCGAATACTTAATATATATTATCCATATTGTATTAATTGTTTTTAATTTTCATCTAATTATAAAACATGTTTATAGCTTAGGTAGTATAAAATAAATAATTATACATTGGTATGTATTTTTACAATAGTAATTTATTATTATAAACAACTAATTTTTCTCGTGTCGTTGTATTTATCTAATAAAATAACTAGTTTGGAAGTTGATATTTCAAACTCGTACAGATAATAGTAGGTTTAATGTGTATTATGTTAGTAATATTTACACAGTATTCAATATAGAGAAATAGAACAATAAGTTTAAAGCAATATACAATATTACACGATTTCATTATAGGTAATCAATAAATAACATAATATAAATGATGTTGAGCGATCCAATATATTATTGTGATGAGTTTGCGGTTGAATTATAATGAAGTATAGGTACTTAACTTATTAAATGTATGTGTGTGTTATGTGAAAAGGGTATAGTTTCTAATACACGTAAAAGATGAATTTTTAAGATCAATAAATAAACATAAGAGCAGGAGTGAATGTCAATTGAATGGTGAGAATAACATTACAAGTTGAATGACTATTACATTATATTGTATTATATTATTGTCTTTTAAAAACGGTTAAAAAATATTATTATTTCTAGTTATTTTCTTTGATATTGAGCTTTTTTTCCATGTAAAGTTTCAGTATCTATTTCTCTCCGTACGCTTTTCACAGCGACGCAAAATAATAATAATATTATTAATACTTACATTGTATACTTAAATATAACTTATTTTTATTTCACAATATTGATTCTAAATCTATTAATGAAATCAGATATTTTGTGGATGAAATTACACGTCGAACAAAATCACAGAACTGTCTCCATTTCGGCGATTTCTGTCCTGAAAATATGGTTTACAGTTGACAGTAAAAGTGAAATAAGAATTGTAATCAAATTAAATTAACTAATACAACTCTATCTACACGTATGTACATATACATATACAGTGAAACCTCCTTTAACGGACACCTAGAATATCTTAAATTGTTTAGGGAATAATCTACAAACTTTCTATAAATTAAACCATCCGAATAGCGGACACACCCGAATAGTGGACCACATTTCTTCGATTGTAAGTGTCCGGTATTGAGAGGTTTCACTGTATATATAAATATAAAAATAGAATAATTAATTTTATTAAAATCTTATAAGTTATAACCACGGTTATTGTACCTACCACAAATAAAATAAAAAATAATTATACTAATAATTAGAATAGGTAGTAATAATAATATAGTAAAAAAAAGTTTGTTGCTGACCTATTTTAAGTCAAACATTATTTTATAGAGCGTCTAGTAATTAACAATCTAAAGAGACTTTTTCCAACTCTCTAAACAATTATCTGTCATCGTTTGTTAAAAAAAAAAAAAATTAAAAAAAAATTATGTTTATAATAATAAGACGTGTACCTACCTATAATAACCTAATACAGGGGTCTCCAAACTTTTTTATTCAAGGGCCACAAAAAAAAAATCAAATGCTCTTAGCGGGCCAAAAGTTTATTAACACATATAATTTTTAATTTTATGATAATATAGGTACCTACCTATATAAATAATATGTTTATTTTATATCTTTGTATAAAACATTGTTTACTTTACAATATGCTTAAATAAAAATAAATAGGTATAAATATAATATAATATAAATACATTTTTGAAATAATTTTTTTATCTATATTTATCTATGCGGGCCACTTGCCGGTTAAAACTTGTTCGTGGGCCGTAGTTTGGAGACCCCTGACCTAATATGTTTGTATTAGTAATATACCTAAACTATTGATTATAAGTGATAAAAATATTTCTTAAATAAATTGTATATAGGTAATTATCAGTTAATTGAATTCTTATTTATAATTTATGAAGGATAAAAAGGAAAATTATATTTTTTCAATTAAGTTGCACCTTAAAATGTCTTGATTTTATCAACTATATTTACATAAGTTATTATTTTTCTTTAAATAAAAATTACGTATAAGTTGTGTTACAATTTACAATGTCCAGTTGATTTTGATTAATTAGTGTACAATCAACAAAAATAAGGTACCGACTAACCGTTGTTATGGTATGATTTATTACGTAGGCAAATATAAAATATTTTACCTGACTGGTTCATGATCATATCTATTTGTGTATTCTGTTGAAATAATACTGGGTCTCACTAGGTCACGTTGTCTTAGTGGCGATGCTGGTGCGAATTGATATCTTTAAAAAAAAAAAAAAATGTGATTATAGGTAACATTGAATGGTGAAAAATACACATACGTAGTGGTAGCTAATTGTTTAATGTTAGATTTGTCTTTACATAATTAACGCACATGCTTCTAACTATTTACATTTAAATAATATTATTATTTATCTATTTAGCGCGTCAAGCAGTATAATATTATTATAGTGTTATCAACTAGGCTCATTAAAATATATATATCTTTTTTTGATGTATTGGGCCACCTAACTACCCGGTTCTAGACATCTATAAGCTTCGATTAAAAGCTTCGGTTTCAATAATTATCTTACCCCATCGCCTATACTAAAATTTAGCGCTGCAAAGCGATTTCGATGATCGTCTACCCATCCTATATTTTTTTTTTTGTTTTTTTATCTCTTACTGTTTTTTATCCGGGTATTTATCGTGGTTTTCAGCGATACACTGAAATAGCCTAGCGGAAGGTGACATCGCTTTCTTCCTCCTGACGACACAAGTTTAATTTTGTTCAAAATGTCCTGATGACACTAAAAATATTATTTTTACCTTTTTTCAGACTTGAGTTTCCTCAACTCTAGCTCCTTTTCCAACTGTTTCATTTTAGAATAAGTGCTCATCAGCTGATTTCTGAGCAACTGGTATTGTGAGTCACAAACAGCATCCTTGCAACGACGGAACTTTAGAAAGTCTTGAGCTTCAAATACAGCACCACGAAATGTTAACGATTTTCCCATGCTCTGTAATAAAATGTGTAAGAATATTATTTACCTCTTCAAGTTCCTGATTTTGTATATTATATTTCAATAATATCCAATATTACCAAACTTATGAGAGCACAACATCCACCTTGATCAGTTTTTGCTAACTTTTTTCTGAAGAAATTGAAGTATAAACATTCCAATAGTAATATTAGAGCTGCCAACAATGTACCACCCATCAACAATAAAAATGCTGACAAGAACTGTTCTAAGGCTAGAGGGTCACTAGTAGCATTTTGATCGTGATCATCTGGTTTACATGTACCGGTCATCCAAAATCTTTGTAATCTTTCAAGATCTCCTGAAAATACATATATTTTAATGTTTTTTAACTTCTTTATTTTTACTGACTTTGTTTACCATTTTCACGGAAATCTAATAGGCGCTTGTTGAACATTTGTACATATTTGGAGTTTCTTTGGAATGCTATAGCGTAACCGGTTTTTGCATACCATGAACCAACGGTCAATAAACGGCAATCATCATCTTGTGTTACCAAATAGTCAAGTACTGTACCGTCATAAATAAAAGCATCAAGTTCTCTAAAATAATATAAACATTTTTAAGCTTCACATTTCTGGGGTTTTGAAATTAATTTTTTTTTTGAAATTATTCTAAAATATAAATCTATTTATTTTTTTCGTAGTCTTAATTGATCACATTTAAATAAATATTTCATAATCGAAATTTTATTTTCCACCTATTTTTCATCAGTTCCATAGAAAATAATTTGTGTTGTTAGGTACTATGAACAATTTAAATTGAGTTAAAATTACTTACGCAGTTAATAATGAGCTAAGTCCTTCTTGTACTGTAGTTCTATTAAAACTTTTCATGTAACTAAACATCTCTGGAAAATATTTATGAATAGTTGAATCAATGTGAGAATGTGGCACTGTACCAAATTTAAACATAGGCTTGTGGCTATGTGGTTTACTGAGCTGAAAATAAGTAATTACATTCCAATAATTAGTTACCGTCATTTACGTTTTATACACATGAACCAAATTACTTACCCTGTAATCATCGATTCCCATAAAGTCATAATATTCTTCCCGAGTTATCATGAACGCAGCTAAATTAGCAGTATATATAGCCAAAAACACCACAGCAAACATAGCCCATATATTTGTCATAAACCTAAAGTAACGTGTAAATAATAAAATATATTTTATTTGTCGTGCCTAGCTAAAGTTAGCTAAAGGAGAAATAATAAATATTATTATATTTATCATCAATCTTTATTATAAGCAATTACGATATGCCATTAAAGGGATAGTTTATAGTTGTTATTTTATATTTGGTTTATTAATGGATAATATATATTCTAGGAGTCATACCTGGACGTTATACCCTTTGGTATATCCACTTGTACTGCCGCTTGAAATAGAACTGCCCATATAAGCCAGTATGTTCTAAATAGAGAAAATCGGTGATTTGGAGCTTGTGAAACGGACTGAAATTAAATTTAAAAAAGTTGAGATAAAAATTCAAATAAACGTACTTCATAAAACCATACTTTCATATCAAATCCAGATGGACTCATCCACTCAAAAGCAAATATTGAAAATGTGGCGGCTTGTATTGCTACCACTCCTACCAACATCCACGACGCAGTGTCAAATGGTTCTAGTTTAAAATTGAATGAGTTTAATTTGCAGGTAAAATATTCACAACATTTCGGTTTTAAAATATAAATTATACTATACCCAAAAATGCTGTAGGTGAAATGATACCAGTTCGCTTGGTAACGGCTATAGATATGCCAGTCTCCATAAACGGAAGACTGAAGTCGACTACTGATTCTCGATCTGAATTTATCATTAATGAAGTCATGACCATGTCAGTTTTTCTGTTCACCAGTTCTGATATTAAACCATTCCATTTTCCATTCTGAAATATCGCCAAACAATAAGATACATGATGCTAACATTATTTAATTAAAATGGTGCTTACTTCGAGTGTTCCCCATTTACCGTCTTCCACTCTAACAAGTTCGTATGTAAATCCCAAATCTTCGGCAAATTTTTCTAACAAATCTATACAAAATCCTGAACAGCACTGGTAGTAACTACTGTTACGTTTGGCTTCAATGACGTCCAACCTTTAATTCAATATCAATATTACTATCTTCTTTAATACTCTTATTCATGGCACATCATGAATGTGATATGATTGTATTAAATTATTGCAACTATATACCCCTGCGTATCTTTTCCTCGAGCGATCCGGCATAAAACACCCCTGTTCATGCTACATTTTCCAGTTATTGGATCTGGTGGTGCAAGTGTAATGTAAGGAGCTTCTTCTAAAAATGTAATTCTTAAATTAAACTTTTCTGGCACTCCTTGAGGTGGAGTGTGACTATCTCCTGGCCACACGATATCTTTGATATAAAGGCCTTCACGTTCCCAAGATTTCCAAACTCCAATCTACAAAATGTTTCATTGTATTTATTGCATAAGGAAACCTTAATCACCATATTTTATATCTTGACAGCTGACCTGCTCAAAATTTGGCCAATAAAATAAAAAAGTGAGCAATTTAATACGACTTTATATACGTTTATAATTTATAGTTTAATGCACTCCTATTATGTAATCAAATGCAATCAAAAACGCATTACCCATTTTTTGGATAATATATTAAATTATACTTTAAGCAACTTAAACGATGGCGATTTAAAATATAAATTATTTATCTAAATTTTAATTTGTAACTTGAGCTTATTTATAATGGTCCACTGTTAATTTTCCTATTACGTTGTTATTACGTTTTGTTTCTTAAACATAAATAGTCGAATAAAGATTGTATTTCAAAATTCAAATAAAGTCAGTTATCATTTTTGTATTATTTTCTTTAAAAATAATTTTTTGGTATTAAATCCATAATCCGTACCGAGTTTACAATTTTAGGGTTGTAAATAGGTTACTGTCTTGAATGGTTTGAAAAAAAATAATATTAAGATTTCGTTAATATAATAATAATAATAAAATTCATATTATAATACATTTTATATGATAATTATATAATATTTATTTTATTTTATTATATTAGTTTTTAAACTGTATCATAGTTTTAAATTAACTGTAGCTTAGCACACTATTCGTGTATTATTTTTACTTACTGGATTTCTTACTAATAATATAATGATAGAATATAGTAAAATAATTTTTAAATTGTATCATAATAAGGTACACAAACAATTCATGGAACACAAATATACCTTCCATCGATGTTTTTCAATGTTTATATTTTACAATCATTTTATTTTAATTAGCGACTAAAATATTGTTCATGATATTATAATGTAATAATAAAACATTAATTTGTTTAGCTTGTTAATATTAAGACTAGCATACATTTGTAGTTATTTACCTCTTCCCAAACAAGTGAATTTCCTACTCCAGGTCTTAAATTCATGATTTTCAATTCTGCGGATTTTAGAACACCATCAGCAGTGAACTCAACTTTCGGTTTGGCTGGTTCTGTATGTTCGACACTAACATTTCTTAAATATCTAAACAACATTAGGATTTGAAATAAGTTAGGTACTTTATTTATTTTCTGAACATAGTTTTTGGTAGACATGCTAAACTAGCAAATTGTCGTCATAATTTGTATACGAATTTAAGGTGCATGTGTTTACTAAATAACAATTACGGAGCTAAATTTATAGGTATTCTGAATTTTATTACCAGAATATTACGTCTTTAAACAGCAGCTGTAAATTAATTTTATTACCATAAAATATTATGTGGGTAGTTAATGTAATAGGTATACAGGAATTTAAATTTGAATTGCTATCATTAATTTTAACTACATTGTAGAAAATTGTAAAAAAAAATTGGTACATAATATGGTGACAAGTCTTAAATGGATTTAATTTATTGTCCTGATGAAGGAATATACCGAATATGGATTAGGTCAGTCGTCAAACACTTGTTCCACCTTATAACCTTATAATAAGTGTAAATTACAGTTTTTATAATTTAAAATCGTTAGGTCATATTATAATAAATTATTGAAATAAAAAAATATTTAAATATAAAATTTAAAACCATACTGGATTCATTAATTCTACTATGTACTTAATTAACATAATTATATACAAATACACGTGAAATAGTTATTGTTTATTATTTTATGAATAATATACTAACTTGTAAAATTTTTCACCGGTCACCCAACGTGATTCACCTTCACCCTCACAAGACAATTGTGTTGTAAGACTTTCGTTCATATTTATGGGGTCGTTGACAAAATCTTCTACACCATGTGCAAATACTCTTATGGCTGTAGTGATTTCTTTTACCAAACTATCACTGCTCGTATCAAAGTGCACTCCTATAATTTAAAATAAAATATTTATATTATATAATGATATTTGTTTTAAATTAACACATAAGTTAATGTTCTTGTTATTTTTTCATAATTAAAAACGAGGAAATTTATAATAACAAAACAATACAACAAAAAAATAATATATTATACAATATACCTAGTAATATTATAATGTGTATATGAAGTATATACTTTTAACACTTGCGTAAGTATTATGTAGTATTTTTGGACGAAAATCAATTAAAAAAATTCAAAATTTTATGATGTACACCTACGATAATTGTTTGTCTTATAAAAATTCAAATATTTAATGATGTTATTTGCTAATTTGTATTGTTTAATTTATTTTAAGATTAGGAAAGACATACTATATTGATGTTTATTAAAAAAAATGAATAAATCAATAATATAATGGTGCATAATTAAGGTAAATCGACGTAAATATTCTACAAAGTAGAAGTTATTATCATACTTCTCAAGTTGTATGGTCACACTAACAACTCGTACCATAGTGGAAATACTAAGATGTATGTTTCAGAATTGACCATGATTTAAAAATAATATAGAAATACTATCATTATATTACAAATTAATTATTTTACAGTTTTACTCCGTTTACAAGCATACCGTCTATGCTTATAGGATGAGCTTGCAAACCTGTTATCAATGCTCAGTTTTTAAACTTTTATTTTGTTTGTTTTGTTTGCTAAATATATATATTATTACTATTAAAATCTAAGCCAATAATGCGGAATAGTACTTATGTTGAGAGTATTTAAGATTTGATACAAAATATGCTCTAAAACAAATATCCTCTAAAACAAAAATGGTTAAATAAGTAAAAACCATACTATCGAATAGTTTCAGTAGGTAAAGGTAGTTAAAAATTAAAATTAATTAACATAACTGCTACGTTATAAACATTATTTAAATAAAAAAATAACAATAAATTATATGTAAATACGTAATACCATATTATAAAATATTGTATTAAACTATATTAAAAAAATAGTAATAGATAAATAGTTTCTAAGTTTAAAATATTAATTGGTGTACATATCCAAATGTAATACCTTTTAACAATTTGTATTAATGTATAACCTAAAAGTTTTAACTTTGTTTAACAAAACCAATGCAATTAAATTAAATAACTGATTATTAATGACATATAGTAAATATGGACTACCTATTAGGTACACTAATAATTTTTATTATGTTTTAAAAACGATTAAAAGAAAATTTATGATAACACCATATAGGTACTGCATGTTAAAATAGTATTATTGAAGTCGATATATTTAAGTCAATTTATTAAAAGATTCACAATATACCAACTGAAAAATTTGATTCGTCGTGCTATTTACATATGGCAATATGACAAAATGTTTGATAGTCACATTAAGCGTGGATTTCATCAATTACAATATGTAAACCAAATTGAATGCCTTGTAAAAATAGTTCGACTATCCCTTACCGAGGATCACTCTTTTATAAATCAAGTGAAAAATCAAATACAAGAATTGAAGTGAATATACAAAGTTGTTTTTTGAAACAGACTTATTGTAATAGCACAATGACAACCTCGAGTCTAATCATACGCTTTACGGTACTGTAATTTTGGGACACTGTTAAACCTTCAGATACAAACTATTTAAGCTTTTCTATTCATCTACCTACAAAACATTACTAAAGCTTCATCTCTATGAACTTCTCCAATGATACACTTTATTATAATTTCTATTTATAATCTAAGTATTAAAACAAGAAATGAAGCTGCCTCTGAATGATTCAAACATTCCAAACCAAACTCAAACAATTTCATATATATATATATATTCTAGAACTGTCACAGACTCCCAGATAACCCAAGATATCAGAAATAAATAAACCGGAAATTGTATGTTAAGTTCTCCTTGATTCAAATTTAAAATAGATATGATATATGAGAAATCCGTTCAGCTCGTTCAATTTTTTTTTCACTATAAGTATACTATACTTATAGTATAGGTACAACTTTTTTCTTTAAATCTATAATTCAAATTAAAGTTCTTTCAAATCTAATTCTTTTTAAAATACACAAATTACATGTTCTATACATTTTTTATTGAAGATATTAAAAAAAAAGTTTTCTGGTTTTAAATTGGGTACAATTTTTTTTTTTGTTAAAAACTAACAATTGATATTTGCTATTGTTTTATATTTGTTTAGTATTAAACGGTATTATACTTTTATAATAATATTCAATTTCATATTTCCATTTGTTTTTTCTTGATTATTTTTCCTAGATATTTTTAGTGTGTATTTTGGGTTTGGTTCGTTGACTCGGTTATTTCCTTTTATATATCCGTTTAAAATACTTTTAGGATGTCTAGTGGATAATTGAAATTGAATTTGTTTTGTCATCTGTACTAGTTGACTTGATTCGAATCAAATCTACCCGTACGATTTCTACACATTAAATGGTCATTTTTATAAATTTGAAAAACTGTAACTCATTACACTATTACAGTTCTCTAATTAGTTTAAAAATAACAATTAAAAAATATTTTTCGTTATTATTAATTTTATATTAATTATCGTCATATTTTCAAAAGGTCACATAAAATATACCTACTGAAACAATTTATATTGTATATCAAAAGATTATATGAAAAATAACTAAATGTAACGTGAAACCTAAATTAATTAATTGTTATTATTTGTAGAAAATGTATTCATACTTTTAATAAATTTATTTCAATTAAAATTCACAAAAAATTATATTATTACAATAGCTAAAAGTCTGTTCATAATAAATTGTCAAAACAATAATTAATTTGAAAATAAGCATTTTTTTCATAAAAAAATTCTAAATAAAACCTATTCATCTATATTTATTCCATACCTATACATAATATTATAGAACTTAATCTTGTTATAAATTGCTTTAGAACTTAATGTAGCAAAGTGACACCCTCGTTTTATATCACGTAGATACCCTTGTAGTTATACTGTGTGCAGTTGTAGTAGTTTAGTTATTTTCATTTCTCTATTTGGATATGATCATATTATTATGAGGCATTTAAGGCATAGCATTATTTATCGGTTACATTTAAAAATGTTGTAGTCTTAGATTTTATTATGATGGTGTGTAACGTTATAGTTTAAGTGTTAGCTTTTTTTAACGCGACCCTTAGTGTTATAAATCATTAATACGCTATTTTCATAAAGTATATGAATTATCATTATAACAATATTTATAATTAACTTTAGCGTAATATAACCCTGACATATCATTATAGTTTACGCTATGGGTTGTGGTTAATCAAGCAAGTCCTTTTTTGATGAAAGTGGAGCTGCACAAATTAATCCTACCCAAACAAACGAACCTTAACAAACTGATAGATTTTAATTAATTTTTTATGTCATGACGTGATATTTAATCCTAACCTCAAACCATAAACTGAATAACATTCAAATTATGTATTACATATATAAAATATTATGAGCATAAACTCCGAGATTATAATAATTGTATTAAAGCTTAATTTGATTGTAATGTAAAATTCAAACATTGAATTCGATTTATAATTGTTTTATAATCAGTTAAAATTTTCTAAAAACGGTTGCAATTTACAAGATTTTAATTTTTGATAAAGAGCTGATAATAATTGAAAACTAGATTTGTTTTTTGATTGAGATATAAATAATATATTTTATTCGATAATAGTTTTATTACGTAGGTAGGTATGTGATAGGTGACAAGTTTTTCTAATAAAAAAATCTGATTGTAGTAAAAGAAAATTTGTATTACCTATTATAGATAATTTGAATTTATTATTTTATAATACATTTTTTTATATATTATTAAAATAGTTATCGAATGAGAACACAAGTGATATAGATTGAGCTTAAATTTTAATTAAACATTTTAGGTTTCTGTATTATATCATATATTGCCATGAGTGTTAATAGAGATATTATTAATGATGTAAGTAATACTGATGTTATAATGTTACCTAATAATATTAATATATTAATTTCAAACTGACATTACTAGTCAAATGTGACTATTGTATCTAAATAGATCCAAAATTCTAGACCAAAAGATATCTTAATTATTTACAAAAACATTAAATATAAAATCAACAACGATAGGTACTTTAAAACGATTACTATCAGTATCATATCGATGGAAGTCACGATGGAAGTTATAAGTGTTATGTACTTACAATGTATCTACCTACCTGGTGTAAGCTACCATTAGCATTACACAGAAACCGAAAATGACTACCACACAACAAAATATTTAAAACAACTGCCTATATCTATCTGCCTGCAACTGTCTATCTTTAAAATGTATTTATTTATTTACTTACAATTGGTAACAAACGGGCATGAGCCCGATTGTGTTTAATTAAAAAGATAACAATAATAAATTATGATAATATATGGAACAAAAAATAGACTTTATATAGAGATATCATAACATAAAAACGACGTAAAATAAAATTGAGTAAAATATGTTTGGTTATTTATATACCTCTTAAAAGTGTTATGATTGGCTGAAATGAAAGGATCGATGTTATGCTGGTTTACATGATACGTAATACGATTAGCAAGATACCTCGATGCGTATCTAGTTAGTACGGGTTAAGGGGATGTAAAATGTGTCTTTTAATCTTTTGCCATCATGAGTGAGGGAACGTAGAAGGGTAAAATCGTTCAAGTAAGTCAGTACACTGAATGTGACCAAATAATAATTTATGGAGAAAAAAATAAATCCAATTTTAACATCCCTCTTTCCGAGGAATCAAGATTGCGAGTTTGTAGAAGCGCCTCGTAAGGATTATGAAGTTGCATTGGAATATTATATTGGAAGCATAAAAACCGTAAAAAATAATGTCGGATACTCTAGAAATGAAACATTCTTTTAATCCTAATTTAATACCTAGTTCTATATCACCTATAAGTTAATATCTTAAAACAATATCGTCTTAATGACTTACAATTATTAAAGTAGATCATATACCTAATTTGTTAAAAATGTATTTACTTATATATCATGTACTTACCCAACATTCCGACGGGGAACAATTGTGGTGCCTGTAAATTCTCCATCACACTCTGAGTTACTACCCATACGTAATTTTCACCTGTGATTTTGAAACCTCTTGCTGCCTGTAATATTCTAAGTGCTTCTTCCCTCGTGCAGTACAGTAACATTACTCGTGATTCTGAAGCCACCAACTGTTGTAAGTCTGAGTTTTTGGTGACCAACACCGAACTCAGTATTGTAAATCTATATGATTCAAGAAAGAACGTTCGATTAAATTCGTGAAAACTACAAACGCACTTATTATACGATATAAAATTAATAATGAAAATAAATTCGAATATACATAATAAGACTTGACGCGCAATATTATACTCTGTCAATCACCAGTAAGGAAATAAATCGAATATTATTTTTCGCCAAATCAAGAAACTTTTAATTAATAAAGACCTTTTGGGTTTAGAATTCTCTAATCAACGATTCTTAATATAATTTAACTTTTAACAACTTTTTAATGTATGCACTAAGGTTGTATTTTTCTTTTAAACTCATCAGTTTGTAAGTTTTTGTTTGTGATCATTATTTATGTGAGTAAATTGCAAGGAAAACTAACTGAAATGTCAAATTTTCAGCAAGACGTAATATTATTTTTGTTGAAAACGGAGCAGGTATTCGCTGTAGAAACAACAGTAGAAAATCAATGAAGCAGCTTTATTTAAACTGGTTGATTGGAAAATACATAAGTGTAGAGGAGCGTAGTAGCACTACGCTGTTTTCACTTATATTTATTTTATCGTGTTGCGTATGATATGTGAAAGATAACTTTTTCAATACCGATTTTAAGTTCCTAAGTATTTTTATTCTGCTGAGTACTATTATGAATATATTATTTTGTTTAAATACATAGTACATTATTTAAAAAAAAAATAATTAAAAAACAAAATAATCCAAATCAAATCAAATAATAAAGCCGGGAAACACACTTGATTTTGATAAGATTTAATAACTATAATATTATACCTATCATTAATTTAACCCACGGCGGATAGTAACAAGTAATTTTTTTTACAAAACGTGAACGAAATGCAAGCAGAAATAAACAAATATGAGGGTAAAATAATAAATTATGATTCGTGGGTAAGGCGCTCTAAAATCTATTGTGTGAACCTTCCATGAATCAGTATTTTTTGATTCTATAAGCCTGACACACTTTGATTTTTCCATAAACTGTTAGCTTTTTGTGACTTGTCCGGGTTCCAAAATAATAATAAGTGTGGAACAAGTGAAAAACTGTGGATTTGCATAATATAATATTAATATAAATACAATCCGAATATCTGTGTATTAACTGACTATCTATTATAATCGACCTATGTATCGTTTCCGTTTTGCTTCAGTTGAATTAGTATTCTCAATTGTTTTTAATTATTTTGTCAAAACCGATTGAGTATTTTTTAGTTAATAAATCTCAAACAGACACTTTGCCTCTTATACATAATATATTATGTACGTATAACAGATGTTAATCAATTTTTAATTTATATAGAACTGCAGCTTTATTATTCGGAATGACAAAATATAATAGTGTACAAAAAGTTATATCCAAGAGTTATAATAACTGTTTTGCTAATTGTTTTTTAACCAATGGCCACCCTATATTATATTATAACTATGACACAAAACAATATTCGATTTTCGTGAGATGAAAAAAAATTCACGTTTGACCGACCCTATTTGAGTTGAAAACAAAAGGTACTAACCCCGAGTCTCGACATTTTATAAATATAACTTTTATTCAAAACGGCCCAGTAGTTGTTTAGTCTGCAGAGGACGAACAAACAATAACATCCGTTTTTATATATCAGAGATGAATTTCTATATGGTACTTACATAATATTACACAATAATAATGTTAGTATCTTATACATCGTACTGTTTACTATAAATTAGTATAATATAGGTATCAATGTATTATATTGTATCTATCAAATATTTGTAATTTATTAATAGTTATTAAATTTATACGATAAAAAAAATATATTTCATTATATCAGAACTAAATAAATATCATAAAGGTATATTGACGAGCTTAAGTTATAAATAACTCAATAATAACACTGAGCTTTTTTAATGTTAAGTCGAAAATCAATTATTCCTATATACCGTTATTGGACAATAAGTTAACAGAGTATTCGAATTGAATGAGACGTCTTAAACTTTAATTTTAAGCAATCGAGTTATTAATAATTACTCGTAACTCGACACTGTTCAGTTATTTCTACATACAAAACACAACTTTAGCAACTTATAGACAGTACTAATTATGATTTTCTGCAGTCGTCACGACACTAATAATCATTTACGCAGACAAATATTCAGTGCATTAATAGTTTATGAGGGCGCGATAGTGGCTAAATAAAGCTGTCAAAATATATTTCCGTATTTAATCGGATTCCGGATTTCACTGGTGACGCGTTAAGTGCTCGTAGATCAAAATTGTTTTATTTGTACAAAACGAGAGAACTTTGTTTAAGTTTTATCAGGAACTTTTGTTATTTTTATTACATTATGAAGAATTTTTCGTTTTTATACTTTGTTTAGCTACTCTAACATTGCAATACATTTGTTTTTTTTTTTTTTTTGTTATAATCTATACAGAACGTAAAACGTAACAACATTTCTAAAAAAAAAATGTAGATTGTGTTCTTTTTTTTTACACCAACATTTATATCATTATCATAAGTATAGGTATTATAGGTGCAATGCATAATAATACTTGTTTTATTATTATACTTGACGAATAAATATGAATACCTATACCTAGTTATAAACTAATAAAGTGATAGGCAATATTAATAATTTGAAAAAAATATTTTTTTAACCAATTTCCAGACATTATATTATAAAGGTCACATTCAACATCGATTTTGAAGTGGGTGCAAATAAATTTCACATGCATATTTTTTGCCACTTAACCAGAATTTTGTTCCATTCATAGCATATTATAATATACTTATTATAGTTATTATGCACTTAATATAATATGTAAACATTGTGGGTATATAATACTCTTAAAAAAAAAATGAATTATTTCATAACTATACCTACCTGTAAAATGTTAAATTTTTTTTTTAAATGCTATTGCTTGAATACAAATAGAAAATACAACTCAAGATATAATGATATAAATAAAATATTACGCTATAGACGGAATGTAATTATTGTACTGTGCAGAGATCTTTTAGTCTATCGTCATGCGGTAATTGTTAATCGTAAAATGTCGAATATCTGAAAATTTACTAGAATTTACATAAGTTAAGTAAGTACATTCAGTACATAACCGTATAGTGTCTTTACCGTTATTAGGCACATGAAATGTTAAAATCGAAAATGTGAAGAGTACAATATAAAAATGTACACGGAGAATATTAAAACAAAAAAAACTTTTTCGTTTAACATGCTAAAATTAGGAACTTCGAATAGTTTATAACAAAAACAATTTCCAAACATAGGTTCCTACTATTATGCACAATTTTCTTGAACGATATAGTAAGATAAATGTAGTACTATGTTCAATATTATACTGTTCATGTATTATTGCTTTTTTTTTCGTTGTTCTCTTATCGTTGTATTGCCATTTAGGTATTTTTAACTTTTATAAAAAGCAAACAAATTAATTTAATTAAAACACCTACTATATATTCAGAGTGATAGACACTAAAACAATAGCGTTTTCACTCCATTTAAAGTCTATAAAGTGTATAAGTATTGAATACCGTAAATTATATTTCTTTGTACCGTAATTGTCTGTGCGACTAACTTTAAATAAATTCTTATTCTAAAAACTTGAATACATTTACATACGTAAATGCATGCAAATATATTAAGCTGTTCCGTCCGTTTTAAGTTTATTAATGTGTGACGTTTTTCGGCATTCAAGTTATTCCTATATATTTTTAATGTTTTAAACAAAGATTAAAATAAATTATATGAAGAATATTTTTGAACATACCTTTTGGATGTGTTTAAAAAGAAAATATGTCAACTTACAGTACGTCTTATATTTATTATTAAAACTAAAATTTAAATTCGCATACATATTAATACATTATTGCCAACTAATAATGTAAATGATAAAAAAGAAAATACTTATTTCAAATCAGATATGGTTCTATAATTATACAGATATTGATAGTTTTTGATTTTTGTGTAGTTTTTTTGCAGGATTTGATTATTTTATAATTATAATTGAGATAATCCTTTAAGGAATAGTTAAAATAAAAATATTTTCTAGTACCTACTGGCCTACTGGCTACCCATGTCCATATAATATTGTGTACCTATATTTACTGATTGGAGTAAAAAATAATTATTTACAAATGGTTCTGTTTTTATGTGCTTATTAAAATAATATTATATTAATAATGTAATATTTATTTTATTTCATTTTAATAAAATATATACTCTTAATTTATAAAAATTGAAATTGTTATCAATATTTTTAATTAAATTAAACTGTTTAAATTCAAATTATAATAGGTACGGAGGGAAAAGATAAAATCTTAACGATTTAAAGACATTTAAAAATGGATTCCGCGTAATATTGAAATATAATTGAATGTTTTGAATATTTCAAACTTACTTAAATCTATCTTGCATATCTGCAACTCGTTCTCTGACTGCTTGTATGAAATCGTCATGTCCAGCTATTTGTGATGTTACAACCGAAAACTGATGCCACTTATACCTTTCCAATATACTCAACATAGCAGCTGTCTGATGTTCTAGCGACGGTGCCAATTGAAGTTGTAGACTGGACCTTGAAGCTCTCTGAAATAAAATTAGTTTTTACTCCATTCAATATTATGCTGTATAATGTGTTTGAGTTTTTTGTGATATGTATACACTATTATACATTCTGGGGAAAAAAAAAATTGAAATTAAGTAGAAGGAGGATATTTTAGAAAAATGTTATCTGTCAGTCGCATTCAGCGATTTCGTATAAAAGTGGATTTTGAAGTGGAAATATGAAATGCATTTTTTCTTTTATTCGCGGCTGTTGTCGAACCTTAATACGAAAGTTCATATGCGATTATTTTTTTTTTTTTTGTATCATACAGATTAAAGTTTTTCAGTTCAACCAATATTATAATATTCAGAAATATCATTAAATCGTAGTTGAATTCAGTTGTAGTGTACTTATCGATTCCAATTTTTATATAATTTTGGATACAAACATATTTTACGACATTTTGTCAGTCATCGTGACCTAAAACAATCAATTTCTCAATGTATATAATTAGTTTAATCTTAGAACGTCATATCTAAAGAAAATTATCTTCCGAAACAATCATATTGTATTACTACCTATCACAACAGAATATTTTGTTTTTCATCATACGTATTTCATTTTAACAGGGCGCAATATTTAACATTTTAACAATATAATAATATACATATTTCAAATGTATGTTAAATTTCCAAAAATATATTTGGTTAGTCTGCATGAAAAATGAATTAAATGTTATAGGTGAATAGACACTAAATGATGTCTACTAATAAGTAATAACTAGAGACCGAATTTATATACGCTTAAAATCTTGAAAATAAGATGATTCTATGCTCTATAATTTCATCAAAATGATCATTTATATGCAAACATATTCTTTTTCATAAAAATGTATTAAACACGAAAAAAAAACAAATAAATGTAACAGTTTATAAAAATAAACAGTTATATTTAATCTATAATATGGTGATATACTGCCATATTGGTGTACCTATCTATATTTAACTTATGAATTCAAAAAATAATAATACTGAAATAAAAAATAAAAAATAATTGAATATAGTTCATTAACAGAATAATATTATGTATTCAAACTCAGATTTAAATAATTCAGCCTTATCAATTCAAAAAATAATATTATAGGTATTAAAAACAAAAAAATGATTTTTCAACAGAATAATATTATATGTATTAAAATAACTCAAACTTAAATAATTCAGCCTTAATGCCTTATGAACTAAAAAAATAATAATAATTACAAGTTATAAAATATTCAAATTTGAACCCAATATCGGGCAATATGGCAATATATTCCTAAAACATGTTTTTTTACACAAAATATTCTTTTTTATGTACTAAAATTATTTGTATATCAGTTCATAGGTAAATGAGAAAGTTTGTCCAATTGGAGCTGCTTATTCTCAGTAAAGATATGTAAAAACCTAAAAATCTGGTCTCTAGTAATAACCAATAGGTAATTAATAAATATTTGTATTAGTGTCAACGATATGGCTGATGGACAATAAACGATGGTCAGTTTTTAGTGTGCCTATATTATAACAATATTACTAAAGGTAATGGAAATTTGAAATTTACGTTTATCATAATTCAAAATGTAATACGTTTTACCGGTAGTTTTATTTTCTTTTTCTTTTTTTTTTGAGGGGAGGGGGTTGAGGCTTCGACAACTGAGGTCATTAGTCTGTAGAACTGTGGGGGAGGGTACTGTAGGTTTTGAACACTTGTGTGTTTGTTTTGGCAGAATTTTTAAGTGGGTACCCTTAGGTATCTGCCACGCCCGGGTGAGGGATGGCGGCCTCTCTCTTCGGACACCGTGATTGCCCGAAGAAAAATGCCGCCCATGGCCGAGTTTGAACCTGTGACGGTGCACGTCACCTTAGCCTCTCCGTCACCCGTTTTACTTTCTGTTGAATCGAACGAAAATGTTAATTAGGTTGATTATTTTTTCGTTCATTATTACAACATACACCTTACGGCTTTCTATTAAATTTATTTTCATGAATTCAGTACGGATGTTAATGGTTTCTTTAGATGACTACATAATGTAGTTGAGTGGTATTATTGTATCTCGTTGTAGAAACGGAGTAGAAATGTTTGTACGCTTGGTCATGAAAATGCAGCAATTTAGAAGAGTGCAAATAACCTATTAAACTTGTAAGATGTTTGGTTTTTCTTATGTCTTATCTCAACGGGTATGATGAATATATTAATAGTTTAAGTTGGGTACACAAATGCAAAACAGCTCAATCAACATTGGATATTCATACTAAAAGGTGCATACAAATAATTGCAATAACTCTAGGTATTGTGACTTCTTTCCGTGCCTACATCAAACATTTTTTGGCACAAAAATATACCGAACTTAACCATAATAATAATATAATAATATGATAGTATATTGTGACTGTTTAATAAGACAACAAAACAATAATAGGTATCTGTTATCGCCGCTTACCACTCTGCCACCGACCACACTCGCACAGCACATTGTCGTTATATTTATTTTATTTTTATTTTTGTATTCATCGTGTCCGCGTAATTTATCTCGGTCTAAATTATAATTTTTTATGTTGTGTCAGCCTCTCTAACTAAAAAAAAAAAATATCGAAACAAAAGAAATATCGCATTTAATATTATTATGTAGGCACGAATTTCGAGTACCATTTTGAATATATTATATTATAATATTATATTATATTTATATTATGCGCGAATCGTCACCTTTTTTAAATAATTTTATTCTTTTTAGTGTGCGCTAATCGCCACGGACTGTTCATTATAATATCAAAATATTATCCTTTGGACGATAATCGTTTTATTATTATCATATTATATTGTGTGGGCTCTAATCGCCACCTTTATATTATACATTTGTTGTGGACCCGAATCGCCACTGATTTTATAATATTATTGTCGTTTATAATATTATATAAATCTCGGGGTTGCAAAAAGCCACAAAGATAGAATATTATTCATTGTTATATATATTTTTTTTTTTATTAATTAACCTGCTGCAACTTAGACCATTGGGGGTGGTTTTTAACTGTGGGGGGGGAGGGAACTGTAGGTTTTTATAAACACGTGTATTTTCAGTTTGGCAGAATTTTCAAATGGGCACCCGTAGGTATCTGCCATGCCCGGTCGGGGGGATGGTGGCCTTTCTCTTCAGACACTGTGACTGCCCAGAAGAAAAGTACCTCCCGAGGCCGAGGTTCGAACCGGCGACGGTGCCCTTAGTCTGCTCGGCCACTCCGTTCCTCTATTGTTACATTACATTATACATCAATTTCAATTATTTTAACTTTGTTAATTATTATATTTCTCATATTTGTGTGTTACATTGTATATATAGTGTATATGTAGCAGCTGACCAGCAGTGCACCAACAACTGGTAACAAGTAACAACTGTGTGGTTTTTTAAAGTATGTATAATTATTTATTAGAAAGTAGAAACATTGTTTTGGAAATTATTTATTCATTTTAAATATTATACTATTATAATTTATACCAATAGGCAATTGATTACCTATTACTTGTAGCAATTAAATCATATTGTTGTATCTTTTGAGCAAAGCAGGCTAACATTTATATTTTATATCACATACACTTGGTGTTGTTGTAATATTATTAGCCGTGTATTATTTAAATTTGTGTATTATACAGCAACTCAATATACAATCCTTTGTTTTCGCATTTATTCTAGTTTTTAATTACACACACATATACAGACCTTAGTCATTACACCTCCTAGTATTTAGGCGGCTAACCCAACCAATTTTAGCTGAGCTATAACACCATTAACACAAGATACACAGGTCGGTCGGTGTGTGATAAGGCAGCTTCGGTGCCAGGGCGCACCGACTATTATTATTGCTTCGTTCATCGTCCCCAACTACAACTTTGCACTAAACGTGAATTTAATAGCATATTATAATTTTGTATAATTTTCTAGTTTTATTTTATTAACATACCTATATAATGTAAAAACATAATATTCGTTTGAAAACTAAGACAATTGTTTCTCTATTACGTGTGAAAACAATTTTATATAATTATTATTCAGTGTCTTATAAATTATAATACTTTCGTATCAAAAAAAAAAAAAAAATTAAAGTTACGAGTATGTATTCAAATATAAAAAAAGCATTTTAGATAGAATATCTTAGGAGGTTGGCGAAATCTATAAGGTTGTCGAGCGTAGTGATCTAGAAACGTAGATATAGTTATTAAATTGGTACTTTTAGTTTCTATAAAAAATATGAAAAAATAAAATGAAACCATAATTTTATAAGAAATGTTTCTTTCGTTAAAGTTCACATATATTTTAGATTCTGAGTGAAGTGAAAGAATGTATTGTATTAAAATGATGTGTGTTTTTTTTTCTGTCTGTCGTCAATGTTTAGTGTATTAAAAATGATTCGATTTTCGAGATCAGCATAATATTTTCTGATAGAAAATTGAATCTTATTTGTTCTTTTACTTCTATCAAAAATAAAAAGTTCACCGATACGTTACGCTATTTATAGTCATGCGATATTTTCGATTTTTATAATTTTTTTTTTAACTATTAAATTTGATTATTCACACAAGTATGCTAGGTTGACACAAATTCTCGTTTTTCGTATACAATGTTTTATCATTGAATTCAAATATAACAAATGAATTTCAACGAAATGCTTGACAACTACTGTACAGCAGAGCTGTACCCACTTGTTCCCCTTTTTTTAATTAAATATTCAAAATAACCACTAGGTAAGTAATACATAATAATAGAAAATATAAATGTAAAATATCCAAATTCGAGGGTTCAATACTCCAAAATCCAATAAGTAGGGACTTTTTTTTTTAATACAAACAGTATGTATCAGAGTGCTTTCTATACGATGTTTTTTCATAATATAACAAGATATATTAATATTTAAACATATTTACATGCATGTTTACGATGGTTTTATTTATTCTATACAGACATACTTTTATTTCTTAAAGAAAATTACGTGTTATTCCCACATCACTAGGTACATCAGAAATATTAAATGGATTATTTAGATATTATCGAAAACGGTATGCTACACGCAACGACCCTGGTTAGTTAGGTATAAAGATCATACAATATTCATTCGCTAGAATACTAGATCACATAATACATAATAAATGCTTATTTTATAAGTCATAAACATTTGTATCTAGGTACCTATCTAAGTCTCGAGGGTCGTGTAATAAAGCTTATCAAGTGAATTTAAAATTATAAAATAATATTTCTTAGTCAGAATAGCAAATATAAGCGCATCCGTGCATACCTAATATTATATTATATTTTAAATAAACGAATAGAGCATAAAACAATTAAAAAAAATGAGAGAGAGTGTGTGAGCCCACCATATTACACTCCGGTGAAGTACAACTTCTTTCTTAAGTAATTGGGCCAGTGAAATTATAAATGAATTGGGGAGGGGGTGAGAAAATCAATATAATAAAAGAACATGTAATTTACGATATATATTTTTGTTTATTAATGGTTGGAATGGACATATATAAATAAATAAACACAATTTTTCCTGTCGTTTTATTTTTCGTTACGATTTTTTTCCACCCATACCTCAAGAAAGAAGTTCTAGATTGAAAAAACATTGAATTATGGCATATAGTCTTGAAAAATAAACTACCTATACAAAAATTGCATATTTTACATTATAAGGATTAAAATATAATGAAGTTAGTGTAGTAAATTGCAGGAGTGAAGTGGCAATGGGGCGTAGGTACCTGTCTCAGTATAAATGTCAACTATGCTCCGCTCATCTGAACTTTAAATGGTTATTTATTCAATATCCGGTATTTACAGGTGCCCGCCTAACTCAACATTTTTAGTTAAGTATTCTGATGAAATTAAAAATTATTTAGGTAGCTATTTAAAAATCAAAAGTTGAAAGTAATATATGTCACTGATACGTAAAGGCAGTATAAAATGTCAAAACTGCGAATTTCAATGAAAAAATTCACAAAGTGCGCAATATCCAATAGAATTAAAAAAAAATGAAAGTTCGCTGATTAAAAACAAAAATCGCACAGTACCTAATTAGTATAAACTAATAAATTATTATAATTATAATGAAAACAACGATCAATGACGTATGATGCGATTTATATGATATTTTTTGTCTGCTTGGTGGACGACTTCCAAAGTATATATTAGTTTAACGGTGGATAATAAAGTATAGATATTAAACAATATCGATAATTATAGTTTTCACCTTCACCACCGAGTTTTTGGGGAAGACGACTGACGTTAATAATGAGGCGGTGGGTAGGGGTACATAATATAATATATACACAATACTGCAATATAGTAGGTATACATGCACAAATATTAATAAATAAAACGCAGTAGGTAGAGGGAATGGCGTTTGGAACATTTAACGCCATAAAGAATTGTTCTCAGGAGAACAATATGATAATAGGATGATAATATATTACGGACTTTTTGAACGTTGGAATGATTGGATTGCAAGACAAAAACTTGACGTTACTTCGGCATAACAACTCGCGTGCTTGGAATCAAAGAGTTCTATATCAAAAAATTTCAAAAATGTTTTTTTTATCTGATCAGTCAAGAATTACTTTACTCTATTTTTTAGTCTTGGAAAAAATTGTATCGATCCCATATTTAAAAAGTTACCAGAAACAAAAGGTTCTATGTGACCCTTATCCAAACAATGTGTTGGATACATCGATAGAATACATTTTGTTTATAAATTTATATTTAAATCAAAAAGTGTTACCTAATACACTTTATTTGTTGTTATTTATAAAAACTGGCGTATTTCACACGCCACAGTATTAAAATACCGAAATAGGTACCTACCCTGGATACTCAGGTCAATACCTATAATAATGCACAAAAAGAAGCACATAGTTAAATTTAAGTTAGAACAAATCAATTAATTTGGGATCAATATGTTCTAGAACGTTTTATTGCTAAAAAATAGAATTGGGAATAAAATGGTCTATCAGTAGAACCTTTCGTTTCCAAACTAGTTATTTTAAAGTTATTTAATATTTTGAGTGCTTAAAAGAATTTATTTTTGCAATATTTATTAATAAATTGATAGAACTGAAGTTTGTGGATTTTTTGATGCCAAATATTTCAAAATCACTTGGGCAGAAATATGTTATTTTAATTTTTAAATCTTAAAAACGCTCTACTGAACAATTTTAATATTGTAACATAGAACTCTTTGATTCCAAGCCCTCGAACTATCGACGATTTTCAAATATTAAGATACGTGAAAAAGCATTCATGAGTGTAGTTTTCTACTCGTTGACTATATTATATTATATTATTATTTTGGTATGGTTTTCAGTTTTTTAATTTTGTTTTAACATAATGCTAACTATAGCACATACACTACGTCATTTTTCTTGACGGATATTTTTTCTACACCAAAAGATAATAATATGGGAAAATTACTAAAAGTGTTGTCCAAGGACTGCTTAAATAATTGGAATATTATTATTATGATTATTTTTTTATTTTCGTGTCGCAACTGTATTCGTGCGGTTTCTATCCTTACTTTCCAATGCTTAACAAGACAGTAAGCAATTAAGGAACATATTAATTTGCATGACAATGAACATTTTTTTAAATGAAAATTTCAAATTCAACAGATTGACGACAGTTGAAATGGAATAATCAACAAACACTGAAAAGTTATAAGTAATCAAGATTGTTTAATATTCATAGTAAGTTTAGAAGTGTATTAATTAATGTAGTACTCATTAGTTCATTGTTTAGAAATAGTGTATAGATATACCTATTATATAGAAAGGTAATTGATCTGTGTAATATTTATAATATTATTTTTTATAAAATAATATAAACTTAATAGGTACATAAAAAAAAAAATGGCATTATATCTTTTACAAAATACATAACCATGTGTGCAAAATAAAACAATTATTCTATGGTTAAAATAAATTTACCACAAATTTAAATGTAAAAAATAATTAGTAACCAACACGTTTCGCACATATTTTATTCTGAAGCATATTTTATATTTCGTTATACACCGGAACTCAAACAATTGTAGTTGAAATTATTATTTTATCATCATATATTTTGGATACTATTCGATAAGGTTAGGCGGGGATTGTTCAGTGTCCACAGCACTGACACGACGTACGCCCAAAGTCGTCAAGTATACTAAATTGAATGTTTCATAATAATATTAATATATTGTAGTGAACGAATACATTAGTAAAGTATAAATAAAAATATCAAAATATTGTTCTCTGCAAGGAAAAATAAATAATTACATAATACGATCATCGACATGTTGTATATATAATGGACGAGATAAATATTATATAGTTAAAACCTTAGAAAACTAAGAAATCTTACCGTCTGAAATAAATGAGATCGGTAATCTTTTTAAGAGAATTTTAAATTTATTAATTCCTTACCTACATATTATATTTATTTTTATTTCAAACAAGTTAAGTATAAATATTTTAATGGATGTATTTTATTTTAAGTATTCGTAAAAATCTAGATAGAAAATACATGAAAATACTATAAAGGTACCTACAATATTATATTATTATTAAACATTGTGTATAATATACTACCTATAATATATAATGGTTTGTACTTGTAGAATTGTAATTATTTAATATTTAAAAACGCATAGATTCAATTAATATAATATATTATATTATCTACCTATTCTAATAGGTTTATAATATTACTATATACATTATCATGATTGTCTGCTTATTTGTTTTATATATTACGATATTAATTTATAAAACAAAAATAAATATTAATATCATGATTATAAATGTAACAGACAATATTACATTTATTATCATTGAAGATTTATTTTTGAAATTAAAAGTGTGATTTTAAACTGCTTTATGAATTATAATTTTACATTATCCATTTTAGTATTCAAAACCATGTTCAAAATCTCGACGTTGTTTTTGAAGTTGTTCTTAAAAAAAAATTATCCAAGTGCTTATAATAATTCAATGTTTATTTTGTTTCGCACGGACAATTATTTAGTCCATAACATGAATTGATAACTATCTATTACATTTTGTGTATATGATAATAAACACTGATGGAAAACTTTATAAAAATTATATGCTTATTGTATATCCAGTGTTTCGGCAGAGTGTGTCCCTACATTCCCATTAATTTAATACTTATATACCTGGTGAAAACCGTAACAACTAAGAGTTAAGCCTTCATCGACACGGTTCCTGAATTCTCGTTTCTCACACGCGAGCATCATAACTCTTAAGTTTTTACTTTCTGAGTGATATTTAAGATTTCATTCGTTTTTTCAACTAGGTGCCCTAATGTTATTACCCGTTCAAGTCCCGAGTTGTCGGCATTCCATGCTATTACTGGTATTCCCAAGTATCCGGCCAGCTGCAGAAAATACTGAGCCGATGCTGTACTCCGACCATATTTTTCGTAGTTCATCAGGTACAGAATCGCAGACACGTTCATATTGAGGAATTCTTTGCATAAAGAATCCAATATAGCTGTAACATAGAAAAAAACAAACTGTGAATTACTTCTCACCAATTTAATTTATTGAAATGCATAATTTCATTAGAATTCTGAAGATTACAATCAGGCTGATAATTTATGTAATAAATGTATTTTTCTAAAGCAAAAATTGGTTGCTTCTAGTTTTATAATTATTTAGAATTTATATATATAAAAAAAAAAAACCATAATAGTTAAAAATAATTGTTACCAATTAATGTTTTGGAATATTATTTTCTAATTTGCTATATTTCAAAACAATTCATTCAAACCAATATTAAAGTGAATTGAAATAAATCATGTGTATTCATGATAATAATTTATATTTAGCGAATGCATTTAGACACACACACACATAACTGCACAATAATTTGAAAATGAAACTATTTTAGTTATTATGATTTCTAACTAGACGTTGGTCAGCCAGAAAAAAATATGAGCTCATTAAATATAAGTTCTTTCAAAATACTGATTCTATTAAATCCAATAAAATACGACATAACCTCTAATGATCCAACCCATCAGAATGAACTTAAGTATAATATCTTGTAGAATAAAGAATTTAAATTAAATTATTTTTTTTATTGATCATGAATACAACGTGCGTCCCATAATTATGTTAAGAGGTATTAGATATATTAACATGTATTGCTTAAGTAATAATTCATAAGAAATACAATTAATAGAGCACATTTAGATTTAAGTATAATAAATTACATATTTATTATTTACAATGATATTGATTACTTGAATATTATTAATACGATGGTACCTATAATAATTTCTATTTATGTTATTATAGTAGGTAATCTTTACCAGTTACCTATAGTTGATTATGTATTATGCACCCTTTTTGAATTTGTTTGAATTTTAAATAACCGAATGGTGTTATTTTCACTCTTCAGTTTTGAGCCTAACATTTTTGCAGTAAGACGACTTCTTATTTTGACTTCCTTTCTGTGCTCTTCAAATTGTTTGCATTCATAAATATGTGATTGGTTGTTAAAGTGGTGCCTCATATTTGATATTCAGGATCAGAAGAGTCGTTTTTTACTGATCCGCATAATATGTTAATATAATATTTTAGTTCATTCTGATAGGTTAGAAAATAATAGGTAATGGCGTCTTTTCTAGGATTGAATAGTGTCAGTATTTTAACAGAACTGCCACTGCGAATAATTAAAAAAGATTTAAAAAAAAAATAATAATACATTTTGGGAATAAGTTCTGTTAATAACTTATTTAATATAAAACTTCTAAACTAAAAAAAAAAAATTATAAAATGTTTACATTAAACACAATGAAAATAACAGTTTTAAGAAGGTTCAAATACCGAAGACTGAATATTACAAATACCTTGGAAGCAAGTGGAATGAAAGAAATTAGGAATTAGGAATTTGGCCCTTTTAAATCTTTTCCCAGCTATGCTTTTGTGTTTGGGCACTTCTTTAATTTACATCCGGTTCAAACGAAAGACAGTCGGAGAAAGACAAATGGTAAATATTTCATACGAAAAACGATTGCAGAGCGGAAATGGTCTATCAGTCTATATAATTCAAAGGATATTTTACTATTGATTTACTTTTCTATGAGTTGTTTATTATTTTTATTATTAATAATACGCAGGGTCAAACTAATTGTTGACAACAACAAATCGTACATTATATTAATATAACAATAATATTATGTTTCTCGTTTAATATTACTAGTTGTTGTTAACTTTTAAGTCAATACGTTGCAGTTGGTTCGTATAATATTGTGTATTCAACATAGTTCATAGAATAAATAGCTTAAAACTATAATCTAAATATTATGGACATTTCATTTCGCATGGTAAATTCTAAATAATAATAATAATAATATTAATAATACCTATACCCAATGGCGAAAAGTTTCAAGTTCCTACAAATAAATGTTGTTATTGAATTACGACAAAATAACAGCTAAAATCGGAAGTTTTCATTTCTATATCAATCGTCTTTAACATTTTAAAACAAAATTACTATAAATCAATGTATGTGTAGGTTTCTATGGGAAAAACTTACGAGACACCTTGAATTATATTGCCAAACTTTAGCTTTTAAAATTGAAAATTGTATACATTTTTAACTACAAAATTGTTTCCCTGTTTATGACGATATAAATAAATAAATGGCATTTAAAGCATGTCTATGAGGCATATTTTTTTTATGTACTTTAAATATCTAAGAAAAAACATATTAACAGTTTAAAATAAAACATAATTGGTCGAAGAATATTAATTTACTTCAAATTTCATTCGAAACCGTTGTTATTATCAAATAATTATTGAAAATCTCCCATGTCGTTTTTTATTACTCAACAGAGCAACTACAGCGTCCAAAAGTTTATCAAATCTTAAAATATATGTGAAACGCGATGGATGGGATCCCCAAGTAGAATAAATGCCACTCTTACGTTTTATACATTATATAGGATGATTATCCACTCACATCACGTATTTTTGTTTCTCTATCCTCCTCATATTGGCCCCGCGAAAAGCAATAATGAAAATGAGCATTATATTTATCTCATGTGATGTTTATACAAGGTGAAAAATTCAACTATATATTATATAATATAGATTATAGTTACCTAATTCAAAGGATAAAAAACTTTTTTAAAACTCTTTAATGAAAAATGATGATGACCAATGAAAATATAAAACAACTTTTTTAATTAAAATTATACAATTTTCTATTAAGACAAGTTTTTCAAAAATTCATAATATATAGGTAATACCTATTATATATATATATATATATATATATATATATTTATAAGTAATTTAAAAAAGCAATTAGATACGAAACATGTATAAAAACAAACAATATTATGTTATATTACCACTGCAATATATCAGAGTAGTAAATTTAATATCATTTTGACATTTTGTTTGTTTTGTAGAAGTACGCTTTTGTTTTATTTTATTCTAAAGCTATAAATGTTTAATTATGCGATTGAAAAACATATAAAGAGGTATTGATGAAATATACCTATAGCGTATAATAATATTGTTTACCAAAATCGAGTCAAATTCAATAATAAATAAATTATTAAACATATTATTATTACTAATACATTTTTGAACGCGATCATATTTTAAATAAAAAAGGTACCTAATAAAAAAAACAAACAACAGTTTTTTTTCTTTGAAAATAGGATTTTATTACAATTTTTTTAATGCTTTTTATTTTAAATTAGAATATAATATCAGCTAATAAACCTACCTATTGTATATATACATAGTTTAATATGTACAGTAAATAACTTTGAGTTAGTTGATAGAAGATTGTAAATTGTGGATGGGATATAATGAGGATCATATTAGATACTCTTGAAAATTCTATTATTTATAAATTACTTTTCTAATAAATTTAAAAACGCAAGTCGTAATATTATTTCTCGTGAATCAGTATAAGTACCTACTAGTTTTTAATACTATAACATTAAAATAAATTATTCACATATCCTTAATAATTTTAAACCACAATATTGAAGAGGTCCCGTGCAAGACGGCTACGTTTTTATCAAAAATCAGTTTTTCATGGAAGAATTATCTATACTTTGGTAGCAAATCAGAAAAATCGATTTATTATTTCCAAAGAAATTACAAAATGAATTATTTCCCACCACGGACTAAGATATCTTAGGCCGTGTTTCCCGCCAATGGTGGTAAATCTTAAAGTCTAGTGGCGGATTCACGGGGGGGGGGTCCATGGGGTCTGGACCTCCCCAGACACTGATATATACATATATAATTAAATAATGCATACACAGATATATTCAAATCATCAAGAATCTACTGAAATAATAATAATAATAATAATAACAATATAATAAAATACTTTACAATCGTATTTTAATAGTTTTGATAAAATCGTCCGTCGTGACGTTAATTCCTGATATTCTTTTGTATTGCGATAGTGAGTTTATTTTTCCACTATAGGGGACAATATTATTATAACACTATTTCTGTAATTTTATACCCACTATTAAAATGTGTGGATTAGTAATGTTGACCGCCGAAAATTAACACTAACACCGACCACTGTAATAACTCAATAGTCGATATACAGAAAATCATAAGTGAGTACGAACTTATTTTTCAATAAAAGGTCGTTTAAAGAACAAACCATTAAACATTTTTTTTGTAAAACCTATACAAACTTCAAATGTTAAAAGAAAATGTATCAACTAAAAGATCACTTTTACCTAATAATGTTACTGATATTTGTGCAAAAAATCTATGTATATGATTTAGCAACTCCGTCTTCGTCCTTAACTCATAATAATTACGATATCAGTTTATTCTGCAACAAAATACTTTCACAAAATTAAATTAATGACATATTAAATAAAGTTTGGACACCGGCAATAAATTATAAATTTCCGATAACATCAATTACTTCTGGAAAATACCAAAAAGTAAGAAATCGTAAATTTCAATATGCATGGTTAGTGCTATTTCCTCGGTTGTGACATTCAGGAATACAAGATGGTGCATTTTGTAAATTTTGTATAGCGTTTTCGAAATCTCATGGTGGACACAATTCTCAATTTGTTGGGTAGTCTTGTGTTAAAAAAATTTAATAACTGGAAACACGCGGTTGAAATATTTACCAAACACTCATCTCTAGAATATCATCAAAAACGAAAAAATGTTTTATCACACAACATTTTAGATTCCTCTAATGACACAACAAAAAAAACACTAAAACGTAGTTGTGCAACGAGATGGATTGAACGTTACCACGAGGTGCATGTTTTTTTAGAACTTTTTGAATTTATTGAAGAGTCTTTCAGTGAAATATCAGAATGGAACGATAATGATCGAAGTGGAAAAGCTCAACGCTCACAAAAATCAATCTTAGATGGAGAATTCATTATTTCATTATTAATATACATAAACACAATATAATATTATAACACATTTGTTT